AATTACTCCTGGCGGTGCTCAGGGAACCACATGGGATGCTGGCAAGGCAAACGCCCTACCCGCTGTGCTATCACTCCAGCCCCAAAAGTTTTGGTTTTAATATGAGAGAAAAAAAGATTCAAAAAGGATCATATGTTGACTAAATTTTTGAAGGGAGAAAGGGTTGAAAACCGGATTCAAAATTAGGAAATAGGAATTAGGGAAACAGTTAAAGTGCTTGCTTTGCATGCAAATCCAGATCAAACCCAGGTATGACCCCAGGCACCACATATGGTTCCCTGAGTACCACCAGTACTGATTCCTCAGCACAGAGCCAGGAATAAGCCCCAGCACCATCAGGCCTGGCTCCAAAACAAAAACAAAGGGTTTTTTTTTAAAAAAAAAAGAAGAAAAAGAAAAGTAAAAGCAAGGACTTTTAATATTTCCTCAACTGAATTCTTTGTTTTCTGGCTTTTGAGTCATGCCCACCCATGCTCAGGGTTTACTCCTGGCTTTGTGCTCAGAAATCATTCCTGGCAGTGCTCATGGGACCATTTACAGTGCCAGGAATTGAATCGAACCCAGGTCCTCTGTGTGCAAAGCACGCACCTGAAGACAAATTCTTTTTTCCTTTGCTTTCAATTGTATTAAACAGTGGCAGGTTCCTAACAAATCATCTTTCAAATATTTATTAGGAACTTACTGATTGCAAAAGAGGACAAATTACATGTCATCAAATGGCACACAGAACCTCAGGAGACTTTTGATAGCCAAAGGTGGAGGACTAATAAATCAAGATTTAAAGTATGCAGTTAGGTTGCATGGCAGGCACTTAAATTTTTTTTTTTTTTTTTTTTTTTTTTTTGTTAAATGAAGGTCAGGCAGCAACAATGCATCACCGATTCACCTAATTCTTTGGATTGAACCCGGTGACTTACAAGATAGCTATCCTCTACTTTGTGTGACCAAGAAATCAGAGGCACCAGAAAGATCATTCTAGGAGCTGGCACATGCTGTGCATGTGGGTGGCCTGGGTTCAACTGCAAGCATTGTGTGGTGCCCAAGCATCTCTGGAAGAGATCTTGAAAGCTGAGGAGGAAGTATCCCCTCAGCTCTATCAGATGCGACTCCAAAACAAAAACAAAAGAAGTCAAAGAAGTGCTGGGTAGATGGTTCAAAGGGCTGGACCATATACTTTGCATATGGGAGCTCCAGGCTCAAACCCCAGCACCATGTATGGTCCCCTGAACACCACTGAAGGTTACTCCTGAGTACCGAGCCAGAAACAGTCTCTGAGCATCACTGCATGTGGCCCCAAACCTGCCCTCTCCAAAAGAGTGCATCTCAGTCTGCTCCAGGGCTAAGATCTCTAACTTACCCTGACAGGGTTTATGTATGGGCTTTAAAAACTTTTTATTTTTGGGTTTTGGGCTACACCTGGAGATGCCCAGAGGTAACTTATGGACTGCACTAAGGGATTACTCCTGGCAGTGCTCGGGGGACTATATGGAATGTCGGGGATTGAACCTGGGTCAGCCGCATGCAAGGCAAATGCCCTACCCGCTGTACTATAACTCTGGTCCCTATGTATAGTCTTTTGCTTTCAAATATTATTTTTGTTTTTTGTTTTTGGTCGACACCTGGCAATGCTCAGGGCTTACTCTTAGTTCTATGCTCAAGGATCACTACTGGCAAGGCTCTGGGGACCATAAGTGGTGCTGGAGATAGAACCCGGATTGGGCACTTATAAGGCAAATGTCCTACCTGCTGTATGATCACTGCGGCCCTAATTAGACTTTATTTACATTCTCTTTTCCCTTCTTGTTGTGATGAAGGGCTACACACCCCTGATTGTGGTGCCTGTGTGTGTTTGGGGGGGGGGGAAGGGCATCGCACATATGGCTGTGGTGCAGGAAAAACCAAGCTCAGCAAACAGGGGAACTTGCTGGGAGGGAACTGGGGTCGCTTGTCTGCCCAGTAGACACTCTGCTCCTGTGTAATCCCTTGCCCTATTGACATCCATGTGTAAACCAATGACCTACCAACACTACAGGGAAAAGTACAGTTTATGGGAGATAACACCTATAAAATACTTTGGCATATAAGTGTTAGAAATGGTAGAGAATGCTTTCCACAGAGGAAGCTGGTCACAGTTTGGTAGTCCAAGAGGAACTCTTAGAATTTTTTGGACTGAGTCAGTCAGTCCAAAAAAAAAATTCCTGGTTTTAGGTCAACATCAATGTTCTCAGTTAAGAGTTAAAGGATGTGAATGAGATTGACCTACATCCAAAAGGCGGGAACATGGGAGCTGGTGCAAGAGCACAGAGGGTCGGGCACTTGTCCATATGGTCCCTTGAGCCCCACCAGGAGTGATTCCTGTGCAGCTCAGGGTGTGATCCAAAACAAACAAAAAAAAATCAAAAAAGCCTAATAGATAGTACAAGCACGTGTTTTGCATAGGGTCATTTTGGCAGTAAATCAATCAACCCAGGTTCAATTCCCAGCATCCCATAAGGTACCCCAAGCACCGCCAGGAGTAACCCCTGTGCATCTCCGGGTGTGACCCAAAAAGCAAAAAAAAAAAAAATCTAAAGGGGGAAAAAATACCCCAAAAACCTCTTCCTTGTTGGCAGGAATATAAACTGGTTCAGCCTCTAGGAGAAACAGTATGGTGATTTCTCAAGAGTAAAAGGAGATCTGCTATATGATCTGGCAAATCCATTCTCAGATATTGACCCAACCTAATTAGAGAAGGTGTATGCACACCTACCCTCATTGCATCATCATTTACAACAATAAAGATGTGTTGGATATCCACAATGGAATACTACCAAGCTAAAGGAAAAGATGAAATCTTTCCTTTTGCTCCAGCATGAATGAAACAGGGAAGGAATCACACTTAGTGAAATTTGTCATGAGAAGTATAAACAGTCAGTGACCTCACATGTGGTATATTGGGGCAGGGTGATAGCTCAGGGAGTCAGAGTTCATGCTTTGCACACAGGAGCCCTTGATTCTTGGCACCACATGTCCCCAAGCTACTACTGGGTGTGGCTCAAAACCAAACAGAGAAAAAAGCAATAAGGAAATCGGGAATGGTCACTAAAAACAACCTCCCCCCCAAAACCAGTTTCCTGAAATGGGCAATACCGCCCCATCTTCTAGGGCAATGGAACTCGCCAAGGGATGGTAGTTGTCTCTGGTGCAATTGGGAGAAGGTGCTATCTATCCACTTAAAAAAGGTGGAAATGTTGGGGCTGAATAAATTGCATGAAGGGTAGGGAGCTTGCCCTGTATGTGATTGACCTGGCTTGGATCCCAGAACCAGATGTGGTCCCCCAGCACCTAGTGGTGGCAATGATCAGGCAATGATCCCTGAATGCAGAGTCAGGTGTAACAAGCACAGCTGGGCATGGTTTCCCATCCCTTAATATAAAAAAAAAAAGGTAAATTTTCAGGGAGCACAGATGCTGAGTAATTTTTCTTTTGAAAAGAAGTAGACCAATAGGCTAAATTTGTTTGGGAATTTCTCTCTGCCTTTGACAGAACCAGGGAACTGTGTGTTGGATGGGATGGGGGGGGGGGGGGGGCGGTTAGCTGAAAGGCTGCTCTGAACTGTGGCTCAAGGATACTGGAACTTTGCTGGTGGAAGTGGTATGGCAACACTGAACCTCTAAATTAAGTAAACCTTTACACTCTTATAAAACCAGCTGCCTCAATAAAAAAGAAATTAAAAAAAAATAAAAACTGACAGACCTGAAAGACAGGTCAACAGGCTACATGTACACATACACTCTGCAGTCAGGAGGCCTGGGTTTCATCGGACCCTACATGCGCCTCTGTACCATTGGGTGTGGGCCAGAAGCCAACAATCAAATAAGTAAAAAGTAAAAATATTAACAAACTGGGGCTACAGCAACAGTACAATGGGGAGCCTGTTTGCCTTGATCCACATTTGACACCTGGCACCCCAGATGGTCCCCCAAACACCGTCAAGGGTGTTCCCTGAGTGCAGAGCCAGGAGTGAGCCCTGAGCACCAGTAGGTATGGCTCAAGAACCAAAATAAATAAAAATGTAACAGGATAAAACAATTGGAGAAAAAAAACCTGAAAAGGTACAAAGTAAATTTGACTGATCTTGGGTATGATTAACATAAATTTTCTTCAAGTGGACAAAAGGTGAAAAAGGACATGCTTAGTGAGGGAAGCAACAAGGCACTTAAGCATCTCTGCTAGGAGGTTAAATACGAGGTAGAAGAGAAGCACATGAGAGGACCAGTTAACCCAGACCTGGCAGGCTCACAAGAGATCTTCCTGAGGGAGACATGACTACGTCGAATCAGAAGTACCGTGGCAGGGCTGAAGAGACCCCACTGGGCTGAGCAAATGTTTTGCATGCCCGAATGCTGGGTTTGATCCTCAGCTCTTCATGAACGCCTGAGTACGACTAACTCTGACCCCCAAGCACAGAGATGAGGGTGTCCCCTGAGTATCACTAGGTGTGGCCCAAATAACAAACAAACAGGACCCCAAAAAAGGACCTTGGGAAAGGAGGTTCTGATGCATGGAGAGAAATGAAGGAACTGCTATTTGGCTGCAAAAAACAATGGGGCAACAAGGGCGGGAACAACTGTATAGTACACAGCCAACCTAGGTTCAATCCACAGTACCCTGAGCCCTCCAAGGGTGATCCCTGAGCACAAAGCCAGGAAAAGCACTGAACACAGCTGGGTGTGGACAAAAAAACAAACAAAAAAAGGTGGGGCCATGATAATAAAGAAATAGGAAGACACTGTATTCTGGAAGGCCTTCTACAAAGAATGACCATATAATTTATTGTATAAATCAAAACACTTATGAGTAAAACAAGAATGTGATGACGTTACTAGTTTTTTGGACATTAACAGGTGAAATCAAGTTCTGTCCTCGGCAAGTCACACTCAAGATCACCCCTGCTTGGAGGTGGCATTCAGATCTCGGCCCTCCAGTTAATGCATAGATTGCAAAGCTTCTCTCTTTACCTTATACATTTTGCCTGAGTGACTTCATCCATACCTTTGCCTTTACTTGTTCATTTCACAAACATTCCTCCAGGATGCACTTCTGGGCACTGAGGTTATAAAGAAGAAAATATACAGTATCTGTCCTCAAACTCGGTCTAAAGGAGAAATCTATTCAAATACTCAAAAAATAAAGCAAAACAATAGCAACAGTGAACAATTAGAATAGTTCCACAGTTGTAGCACTGGTCCCTTCTGGAGCGCCAAACTCATAATTGTTATTTCCACTCAGATTGCAAACTCCAAACAAAACTCTTTCTTGTTACTGTTTTTTGGACCATACCACCACTAACAGTGCTCAGGGGGTGTTCCTGGCTCTGTACTTAAGAATGGTCATTCAGCTGGTCATTCAGCTCAGAGGACTACATGTAGTGCTGGGGATTTGAACCAGGCTGTACATACACAAAGCCAGAATCCTTTATACTACCTCTCAGCCACTAACATTTTTATATTTCTTCTCTCATCTTCTCTACCTTCAGTTGGTCTTTCACTTTCCCTTTCAATGGTCTCATAAGTGACTATCCACACATTGCTGAAGGCAAAACCCCAGAAAAACACTATCCTTCCTCTTAATATGCATTGTTTTAATTCTCCACATCTTATGAAGGGAGAGTCAAGGGGGTTTGGGCCACACCCAGCAGTGCTTGGGAGCTACTCAAGTCAGGTGCTTGGGAGACCATATGGCACTAGGGATCAAACCCAGGTTTCCTGCAGGCAAAACAGGAGTCGAACCTGGAACCCCTACACACAAATCATGTTCATCGGTCTGTTGAGCTATTTACTCACTCCTAAAAGTCAATTGTAATGTCTCTCACATCTATTTTCCACACAATTGTCAGTGATCCTTCTAAAACAAATGGGACCAGAGAGATAGTACAAGGGTTAAGGCACTTGCCTTGCAGTGCCACAGAAGGTCTCCCAAGTACTGCCAGGAGTGACCCCTGAGCATTGCTGGGTATAGTCCCCAAACAAACAAAAAATCCCAAATGTGATTACAAATATGATTGAATGGTTAGATTTCTGCATATAATCTGTTCATTAGAAGCCTTATCTATCCCATCTGAAAAATCATCCTCACCTCACTGGCATACCTTTGTACTGATTTTTCCCATCAAATTTGCCACATTACTGAATATTATCTATTCACTGTTCTGTGATCCACTGTGTATATTCCCACATGTTAATCTCCTCTATAATAATCAAAAACTGTTCTGTTCTGTTCACTGTTGAAGTTTCTTCATACTGAACAGTGTTAGCTTATTAAGTATTGTTGAGCTTTTCAGAATACATCAAGTATTTCAGGATAATCTAAATTGTTGTGCAGGAAAGCTATTACAGGAGGTAAGGTGCTTGCCTCCTATGCAGCCAACCCCATCTTGAACCTGGTATCACAAAAGGTCCCCTGAGCATCAGGGGTCATTCCTGAGCATAAAGCCAAGAATTTGAGCACTGGAGGGTCTGGCCAATCTCCTACGCATATCCCATAAATAAAATTTTTTAAATAAATAAAATAAATTTACTGGCATGATGCAAAGGAAGTATTTGTATTCCAATGTTAACTCGTTTACATGGTGGGAACTGGGTTTCACATTCTTGCTTGTGTGAGTTTTTTTTTTCCCCAAAAATGAACTTAGTAGTAATCAAATATTAGTTTTTTTTAAAAAAGGGGGGAGGGCAGAGATAGAGAACAGGGGATAACTCTTTTGCCTTGCACGCAGCAGATCCCAGCTCCATCATCCCTCGGGAGCACTGCCAGGAATGATCCCTGAGTGCAGTCTGGAGGAAAACCCTGAGCACAGGGGTATGACAACCCTGCTCCCCAAAGTAAGACAAAAAAGAGAAACCACAGAAGCAAACAGTGCAAATAATTTATAAATATTTAGAAATTTAGAAGTGGGGCAAATTTATGAAAGACCCTTGAAAACTGCTGAACCATGTAACGATTAAGATAAACTAGTCTGTGTCCTTTTCCCCACTTCAACTCCTGCAAGTTCTTTAAAAGGCAGAGAGTCCACACGTCTTCACCGAGCACACTGGGATAATAACAGTGTCTGCCTCTTAAGGTTGTTTTTGAAGATGAAATGAGACCGTGTGGGTAACCTGCTATGTACAATGCCTGGCATGCATTAAGCACCGGGACAATTGGCAGCTATTATAATAATTAGTAGCAGTAAGAAGAGGAGTTGGGACATACCTAGCCCTCAAGATTGACATCAGAGTGGACCACCACATTCTCTCATCATTGCGTCCCACTCTGGGCCTCAGAAGCCCAAAGAGGGGATGGTTCTTGGCCAGGAAGACAACAACTTCGATGCTGGTCCAGAAGCCTCGGGATGGAACGGACCCTGCTGCGGACCCCTGTCACCACTCAGTCTGCTCCGTCCGCGAGCAGCTCTGGCCAGACCCCAGTCCCAAAGGCTGCTCGTCCAGCCCCCTGGACGCCTCAAAATCCCCTTCCCTCGCGGCCACGGGGCCGGGTGGGAGTGTGACACGCACAATCGCGGCGCGCACTCGCGGGGGGGGGGGGCCAGAGGCCAGGTGTGACTTAAGAGCCCGGCGGCGGCCAGCTCTGCGGCATCTTCTGCGGCCTCGGGGAGCGGGGGCCGGGCAGCGGGGGTGGCGAGGGGCCTCGGCCGGGACCCGCGAGGAGAGGGGCGGAGGCGCCGTGCGCGTGGCCGGTGCGTGCGCGCGCCCGCGACGCTCGGGAGCGAGCACGCCGTGTCGGGGGCGTGCGCGGCGGGCGGCGCCGGGGCGCGGAGGCGGGGGACGTGGCGAGGTGAGACTCGCGGGGACGCGGGACTGGGGGCGGCCTGGCGCGAGCCCCTTCGGGGGTTCTCGGGGGAGGCGGGGGCCGTGGGGAGGGTGGCCCAGGGCAGGGGCGGGCGGGCCGCGCGGCGGGAGGGAGCCGGGGCGGCGCCGGCCACGCCGCGCCGTGGGGGAGGGCGGTGCTGCGGGGCCCGGAGGGACCCCCCCACACCGCCCCGGGCGGCCCCTCTGTGGCCCGGCCCCGGGTCGCCTGTCTGCAATGGGGAGCGTAATTGCCTTTAATAACAGCCACCGCGCGCGTCCTGCCCCGAGAAGGTCTGTCCCTTGGAGTTTTCCAGTAGGCCTGCAGAGTCAAAAATTTCCGCTCCGTGTTTGAGCTCAGGCTGACTTTCAGTTGACTTGCCCAAGATCACACTGCCAACCAAGTTGGAGATTTGCACCAAAATACCTGCCGCCTGTGCCCTGGGCCCCAGTCGGAACGGTGGCCCTAAAAGTACTTTCTAGCCTCCTTTCCCGCAACCTTCTTTGCGTTTGTCAAATTATTCGTTTGGAGCCAGCGCCTGACTTCTTGCAGATGTTAAGAGTCACGAGTATGAACTTGTGCAAAGGGAGAAGAGGAAGAGGCCTGAGGGATAGTAAAGGGGTTAAGGCTCTTGCCTTGCACGTGGTGAACCTAGATTCCATTTCCCTAAGCACCCCATATGGTCGTCTGAGCCCATCAGAGGTGATCCCTGAGCACAGAGTCCGGAGTAAGCCCTGAACATCATTACTGGGTGCAGTCCAGATAGAAAGTATGTCTACTGAGGTTAAAGTGTATCAGTTGTGTTTCTTTTGGTGTTGTGTTCCAGAGAGAAGTAATTATCAAACCATACCTCAAAGCCCTTCCTTTCAGAACTTCCTGGCATTTAAAAAAAGAAGACTGTGAGAATTCAGATAATTCACAAATACTGTATCACAGGTACCTGGTGTACAGAAAGCAGTCAGTAAATGTTGGACATAAAAAAATTTATTTAAGGCACAATACCCCATGCTAAACTCGCTTCTGTTGTTGTTGTTGTTGTTGTTTTTGCTTTTTGGGCCACACCTGGAGATGCACAGGGGTTACTCCTGGCTCTGCACTCAGGAGTTACTCCTGGCGTTGCTCAGGGGACCATATGGGATGCTGGGAATTGAATCTAGGCAAACGCCCTACCGGCTGTGCTATCTCTCCAGCCCCTAAACTCGCTTTTCTTCAAAGAAATGATTCGAAGATTATCTTTGGTTTGGAGGGTGGTTATTTTTGGGGGGATAGGGTGTGGGCCATAGACTCCCATGCTTATGGGTTACTTCTGGCTCTGCACTCAGAATTTACTCCTGGCAGTACTCTGGGTACCTTATGGGATGCCAGGATCAAACTTGGGTCGACCAAATGCCCAACCTGCCATCGCTGTGGCCTCAAGAAATTATTTTTCTCAATTTTTTATCCTGCCTGCTAAGTGGTGTCCAGGGACTTCTGGCTTGGGGGCTCTGTGCTTAGTCACTTCCTGCAGTGCTCTGATGACCATGCCATGCTAGGGATCCAACCTGGGGCTCTGCCATGCAATGTATGTGCTATAGCCCAGAGATCTGCAACCCCTGCTCTAAGGACCAGTGCCAGTCAGCATCTATGGGAAGGTTGAAAACCACTAATCTACTACTTTGGTTCTAACTGCCAATATCTGAACCTGCATGCAGAATGAATGTTGGTCTGCAGGTATGAAAGGTTTAGGAACACTGCCCTAGTGTTTTGAGTTGTTCCCAGACCAGGAGGAATGCTTTTGTTTGTTTGTTTGTTTGTTTTGGTTTTTGCGCAACACCCAGGTCTTACTACTGGCTCTGTGCTCAGGGATCAGTCCTGGCAGGGGGTGATCTTATGGAATGTTGGGGATCAAACACCCTATATGGTTGGCTATGTACAAGGCGAAACATCTTTCCTGCTGTACTATCCCTCTGGCCTCAGGAATGCTCTTGGAGGGGTTCAGGGATTGAATCCTGGGTTGGCCTTGTACAAGGGAAAGCCCTGTCTCTCACACCCCCCCCCCCCCCACCACCCCCCGGAAGTACTTTTTGTCTGAGTAAAATGATTTCATTTCTGCTTTCAGGCTCATTTACCCATTTCACATACCTGTAATATTCAAAGAGTAAATTTGTGAACACAGATATGTTGTAATCAGAATTCCTTGGTTTAAAAGTCACAAACGTGTGTATCAAGGTTTTATTGAAAAACTAAAGAAGTGAGAAAAGTACTAACAATTGGGCCATGCTTGTGGAGGGAGGTCTCAATAGTCAGAGCCCCATGGACAAACAATTCTTCCTCCTCATCCTCTTTCTCTTCTTTTCCTTCTTCTCTGTTTGCTGTGTCGGTAGTGGGTGGGGGATTGGATTGGCAATCCCACTAGATCTTTATGAACTGCAGGAGGGGCCGTTTCCCAAAAGAAGGAGGGCTAAGAGAAGCATGGTTGGGCAGACAAAACTAATGATTGTTGAAGACCCAGGGAGTGACCAAGGCCTCATATGCGCAAGGCCTCATATTCACTGCAGAGCCACATCCCAGCTCTCCAGAGATTGCTTATGAGAGGTATAGAGTATCTATAGAGGGTTTCCATAAACCATGCACCCTAGTACGTAATTTATGTGGACTGTAGTATTTAGTCCTTATACTTTTGGGACAACATAAGCATCTAGAGGTAAAATAATTTGTTTAGTGTTACAAAGTTAGGTGTGACACAAGAACAAAAGCAACCGGTGCTGGCGCGGATGTGGCGAGAAAGGGACCCTCCTTCACTGCTGGTGGGAATGCCGGCTGGTCCAACCCTTTTGGAAAACAGTATGGACGATTCTCAAAAAATTAGAATTTGATCTCCCATTTGATCCAGCTATAGCACTCCTGGGAATATATCTCAGAGAGGCAAAAAGGTATAGTCGAAGTGACATCTGCAATTGTTTGTTCATTGCAGCACTCTTTACAATAGCCAGAATCTGGAAAAAACCTGAGTGCCCGAAAACAGATGACTGGTTAAAGAAACTTTGGTACATTTACACAATGGAGTACTATGTAGCTGTTAGAAAAGATGAAGTTATGAAATTTACATACAAGTGGTACTACATGGAAAGTATCATGTTAAGCGAAATGAGTCAGAAAGAGCGGGATAGACACAGAAAGATTGCATTCATCTGGGGAACATAAAGCAACAAAACGTGAGACTAACACCCAGGAATGGCTGAGATTAGTACCAGGAATTTTGCTCCATGACTTGAAGGCCAGCCACACGTGCTAGGTGAAAAGGAAGCTCAGATAGAGAAGAGAGCACCAAATAAAGGGTGTTGTGAGGACCCTCCCAGGGTGGGAGAAGCATGCTAAAAGTAGTCTATAGACCAAACATGATTGCCACTCAATGCCTCTCTTGCAAAACACAGTACCCAAAAGAAGAGAGAGAGAACAAGGGGGAATGCCCTGCCACAGAGGGAAGGTGGGACGGGGGGATGGGGGGTGGGAGGGATGCTGGGACCCGTGGTGGTAGAGGATGGGCACTGGTGGAGGGATGGGTACTTGATCATTGTATAACTGAAACCCAAGCACAAAAATTTGTAAGTCTATAACTGTACCTCATGGTGTTTCACTAATAAAAAAATTTTAAAAAATAAAACAAAGTTAGGTGTGACAAAGTTGAGTGGGTTTCCTTATCTTCTCATCTTCTTGTTCCTTTGAATTTTTTCTCATCTTTGTGCCACTTTTTGTTTGTTCCTAGGGAGGGTCCGCCAGTTTTGCTGTATGTGTTGGTCGTTCCTTGAAGGATCTCTGCGTTAAGGATTAAAGCAGCAGTTTTTGCTGAAAATGGACCGTTTAAGCTCCTTTAGCAGTAAGTACTGAAACCAAATCCAAGGTGAAATAGTAATAGCAAAAGAAGAAGTTGAGCACAGAAGAAAAATATGCTTACTTGGAGTTAAATACGGCTCTGTGAATCTAAAGAAATTGGATTATCAATTCAGATCAAAGTAAAGAAATAGGAATAGCAATTCAGAACAAAGTTCTTACTCACTGACTGTCCACTGAACACATGAAAAAATATGTTATCCTGGTTTTATAGGAAAACTTAAGTTTGGGTGGGCAAGGCGTGGTATGATTAACCTATAATTAGGCTTTAAAATGCAGTTCTTTAAAATTGTTTTCTCCTATTTTGGGGCTTCACCCAGTCATACTCAGGGATTATTTCTGGCTTTATGTTCAGGGATCACTCCTGGCAGCCAGCCAGGTGCAAGGTAAGTGTCTTGTTTGTTGTACTCTCTCCTGTACTATAATTTCTTGTTTTATTTATTTATTGGTTTTTGGACCACACCAGGTGGTGCTCAGGCGTTACTCCTGGCTCTGTACTCAGGGATCACTCCTGGTGGGGGACCATATGGGATGCAGGAGATCGAACCTGTGCCAGCTGCATGCCAGGCAAGCGCCCTCCCTGCTGTACTATTACCCTGGCCTCAATTTATTACTTTTTTAAATTTGTTTTTTATTTATTTGCTTTTTGGGTCTCACCCAGCAATGCTCAGGTGTTACTCCTGGCTTTGCACTCAGGAATTACTCCTGGCAGTGCTTGGGGGACCATATGGGATGGCGGAGATTGAACCTGGGTCGGCCGCATACAAGGCAAACGCCCTACCCGCTGTGCTATCGCTCCGGCCCCAATTTATTATTTTTAAAAGAACAGCATTCCTATCCCCTTTGATGACTTTTACGGACCCCCTCCCCTTCCCTTCCTTGTTGATGGTATTGCAGTCACATGGGCTGCCCACACTGTGTCGTGGTGCTTGCCTGCAGCTGCCCATGAAGTTGTGCCACTTGCTGTGGGTCACGCTCCTTCAGCTGTAGTTTTAGCTGAGGCTCATGTGAATGTCATGGTGCTCACCAAGGGTTCCTCTAGGGCCCACACCTGTCTGCCAGAAGTTGCTCTTGGTTGCTCTCTTTGGGCATGGCATTTGATTATTTATTTATTTATTTATTTTTGCAAAGTTGTGGGGCTTGCCAGGGGTTATACCCCTATTTTTAGTGCTCGTACACCCCTGGATGCGGTATGGTTGAAAATTGTCGGTGACAATGGGGATTGCAGACAGCAGAACTGCCAGGATCATGCTGAGCACATATGTGACATTGATGGGTTGAGCCCGTGACCATACACTTGCAGACAGGCTCTTCAAAACCCCTGCACCCAGAAGCTCCAGCAGATCAGTTCTTCGGAACCAAGAGCATTTTATATGCCTTGGTGAAAAGTAGTGCCAGGGCCGGGATAGAGAAATGCCATCTTTTGGGTGCATTTGGGGACCACTTTTTGTTAAGTTTGGAAACTTCTAATCAAATCAACGCAATGCTTACATATGTGTATTCCCATGTCTCTACGTTGTTGTTTATTTTTGGGGCGTACCAGGCAATTTTCAGGGGTTACTCCTGGCTCTGCATGCAAGAATTACGCCTGGTGGTGCTGGAGAAACCATATGGGATACTGGGCAGCTAACCCAGTTTGGATGCGTGCAAGGCGAGCTCCTTACCCATTGTACTATCTCTTCAGCCCGTCTTTTTTTTTTTTTCCTTACAAAAGCATGGCCTCTCATTGATACTTCAATTTATCTTGACAGACTTTGTTAATGCGCTACACTTCTTTTCGCATGTCCTTTTCTCAGTGAGAACCCTGAGCATTCACTCTTTTGCTTAGCCTATTTTGGCTTTGGTTATGGTTTGGCTTAGGGACTGCTCCTGGCTCAGTGCTCAGCTATTGCTCCTGGGGTACTCAAGGGACTGGGGATTGTTGAACCTGAGCTTCTACATGCAAAGCGCCCTGTCTGGCACATTGAGCTGTCTCCTCAGCCTTGCTGAGCCGTTTGATTTATCTTTTTTCTCTAAAGGGGTTTTTGAGCCATACTTAGTTGGGTTCAAGAACTACTCCTGGTTCAGTGCTCAGTGACAGTGCTTGGGGGTCCCTAACCAGTGCCAGGGATTGAACCCAGGGTGGTTGCGTGCAGGGCAAGGGTTCTGCCTAATTGTACTATTTCTCTGACCCTTTGCTGAGTATTTTAATACACCCAAAATATCTTGGAATGGCTTCACAGATGCCAGTATGTCAACAATCTGGATGTCATTCTTCCTTGCATCACCCTAATCTGAACATACATTGTTAAATAATTTACTTGATACTTTTTCCACCTGTCCCCTAAAATGTGAAATACCATTTCATTCTGCTTTCGGTTTTCCCACCTAATATTTATTGATTTTATTTTGTAAATTGTAGAACATAAAATGCTTCCAAAGAAGTATCTGGAGAATTACCACTCCTCTTGTGCTTTTTGTTTTTTTGTTGTTGTTGTTGTTGTTGTTGTTGTTATTTTTTGGACCATACCTGGCACTTGGCATTGCTCTGGGCTTACATCTGGCTCTGTGTTCAGGGGTCACTCCTGGTTCAGCTTGGGAGACCAAGTGGGCTGCTGGCGATTGAATCCAGGTTAGCTGGATATGAGGCAAGTACCCTACCTGCTGTACTATCTCTCCAGCCCTCCTCCCCCAAAAATTGTTTTAAGCTTTTGAATTTTTTGTTAATTTGATGGATTAGAATTTATATCTCAGTACAGATTTCTCTTCATTGTGAGTAAAACTGAATGCCTTTTATTTGTTAAGGGCCAGTTTTACCTCTTTTTGCTAATTATCTCTTTGTCTTTTGCAATAGGATTTTTGGTTTCATTTTACTCCCTATATATATTTTTTTAGCATTGGGGTCACACTTGGCTGTGTTTGGGGTTCATAGGAGCTGTTCTCAGTATGGTTCAGTGCTTGACCACTCCAGGCCTAGGTCCTTAGGGAACCATGAAATTTGGCCCTTTGAGCCGTCTCAGCACCCCTCGATTAATTTTAGATTATTTCATTATAGATTAGAAAGATTCGCTCTTTATCTATGATATGTCTACAGACCTTCTCTTCTGGATCATCTTCCTTTTCACTTTGCTTATAGTATATTTTGCCAAGAAAGAAGTTTTTTTGTTTGTGGTTTTGGGACCATACCTGGCTCAGCGCTTGGGGGTTCGCTCTAGCAGTGCTTTGAGGGGCCATGCGGTGCTGGGGTCATTCCGAGACCTCCCACAGGTAAACCCTGTGCTCCAGTCATCTGAGCTGTCATTCCTGGCCTAAGAAGTTTTTTGATTTGCTTTGATCATACAAATATATTAAGCTTTTACCACCTCTAAATTGGAATGACTGTTACAAATAATGATGGCTCTGGAAATGGGACTCAGCAGGAAAGTGCATGCCTGAGACCTGGGGTACACGTGCAGCATGTCAAAAACAAAAAGTCTGGCTTGTTCTCTCAAGCCCATGTGTGCGTTCTCTTGCACGCGCTCTCTTTCTCTTTCTCACACTGTCTGTCTGTCTGTCTCTCTCTCTCTTTTGCTCTCTTTGTCTCCTGTGTCCCTGTCTTTCTGTCTGTCTCTCTTGCTCTCTCTATCTCTTGTGTCTTCCTGTCTCTCTCTGTCTTTTTTTTTCTCTCTCTCCCTCCCTTCCTCTCACATTTCTCTAAATTCATTTCAGTAAGAACTATTTTGCTTCACCCCCAGCAAAGCTAAATAAAATTAAAAGTTTACGGCTGCAGAGATAGTACAGTAGGCAGAGTGCTTGGCTTGGCATGTGCCTGGCCTGGGTTTGCTCCCCAGCACCATGTTCCCGAAGCCCCACCAGGTGTGATCCCTGAGCAAAGAGCCAGGAGTAAGCTCTGAGCACAGTCAGGTGTGACCTTCCAAAAAAATAAAGATAGGGGAAATCATCTTTAAAAAATAATAATAAAAGTTTATGGCTGGAGAGATAGTACAGCAGGCAGGGCACTTGGCTTGCACACAGCCTTCCCTGGTTCAGTCCCCAGTGTCCCATATGGTCCCACAAAATTGGCTGGGAGTGGTTTCTGAGTGCAGAACAAGCAGTAAGCCCTGAGCAGTGCCTCTGTGTCCCCAAAACAACAACAACAACAATAATAATAAAGTCCAAAATCAATTCTTTGTTCTTATATCACAATAAAATTTTAAACTGCTTTATGAATGACAGTTTGACTATATTTACAAAAACCTCAAAAAAACGGCCAACAATCTTCTTTACACACAACAGTTTTAGAAGAGATCTATCCTAAGGAACAAAATGTACAAAGAAGGAGCTGTAGCAATAGTTCAAAGGATAAAGCGCTTGCCTTGCATGTGGCCAACCTGAATTTGATCCCTGGCTTCCCATATAGTCCCCCATGCACCGCCAAGAGTAATTTCTGGGTGCAGAGCCAGGAGTAACCTCTGAACATTGCTGGGAGTGGCCACTGCCCCTGTCCCCAGGGTGGGGGGGACGGTTGATCCAAGATTCTTTGAAATAGTGAATAATCAAATATTGGCACTAGACAAAAATGTACACCAGTGGAGAAATGGTTAGTTGTTCCCAGACTCATGAGACCCATTGATTTCTGTTTAAAGCCCCCTGCTTCTTTTTGTAATGAAATAACATACAGCATATGACATCTACACCCATGATTTCAAAGAAAATTAATGCTTAGCTGTGACATTAAGAATAAATAAAAAGCAATAATGAAATAATGTAATTTATAATAATATATATCTCAGTGTGTTTAATATGATTATAGTAGAAGACATAATGACATAAGGAGTCAGATGTTTGCATTCATATGTTGAATCATTGTGCATCTTACAGCTCTGAGTGCAGAATGATTCAGGTGTGTTATATTGATGACTCAGAAATACCACAAGCTTGAATAACTCCTACTAAAGTTCCAAACACAACAAGGTAGCATATACTGGAAGTCCAGGTAATTGTCTTCCTGGAAAATTTGGTGCCTATTAAAACAATAAAATGTTTTGCTGTAGGCACTGAAGCTGTAGTTCTGTGGTAGAGCAAACACTTATCTCACACGTATCAAGTCCTGGGTTTGATTCCTGTTTCCCCACCAAAAAAATGTTTTGGGTTTTTTGTTTGTTTGGCCTTAGAGGTGATATAGAATTGGGTTCTAAGAATGTGATTATGAACAGATTTTTCATTTACTTGAATGCCTGGTAGGACACCCACCAGTGCTCAAGGGTTACTTCTAGCTCTGCGCTCAGGGATCATGCCTGGCAGGCTCAGGGACGTAAGGGACGCAGGGACTCCATCCCAGGTCAGGCCTCTAGTTGTTGTTTATGCAGGGAATGAATGTATGGTGGGTATCTTGGTCCTGGGCCCCACCCAGAAAATTATAACCCTCCCTAGTCATGGTAGCAACAGAAAAGGCACCTCAGATTTTCAAAATGCCTTCCTAGGGGGCAGCTGGAATAGTTAGGTAATTATTACAGTATTTTATTATGTATTCATTAAAAGAATAATGAACATCTTTATATATTATCATTAAAGATAGCCAAGTGGAAAAAAGAGGCTACAGAATATCATGTATCCCATTTGACAACCTGAACATCGAAATAAAGAATGATTTAAAACTGGAGTCTAGAAGGATAGGACAGAGGGTAGAGCGCTTGCCTTGCATGCAGCTGACCTGGATGTGATCCCCAGCATCATTTATGGTCCTTGAGCTCTGCCAGGAGTGATCTCTGAGCTTTGCCAGGAACGGCTCAAAAACAAAACGAAAAAACTAAAAAAAAGAATAACTTAAAGTTTTTACTTTTCTTGTTTAAAAATTTCCTTTAATTTTTTTGGTGACGAAAGGTGGTTTTTACTGAAACTTATTTTGAAAGATATGAGGGGAGAGAGAGGGAGAAGCACATGTTTGAGAGAGCAAAGGGTTCTCCAGAGCGGAAATAAGCAAGCAAAGACACATGGAGACAAACAAGCAAGACACATATTCAGAGAAGAACATGGGCTTGAAGAGCATGGGCTAGAAGAGACCCTTGTTTACAAATTGCTTTTAATTATTCCTGATGTAAGGATTTAGTAACTCTGGTAAAGTGATGATCTGTCGAGCAGTTAAGGAGGAAAAAGCTTAAATTGTTAGAATGTGAGAAAGATGGTAATTTGCTACACTTCATCTTGTAGCATGTAATATAAAGCATTTTATTGTTCTTCCAAGTCAAAATTGAAACAGAAGTGAGGCAGTTGTTACATGTATTTATTTGGGAGGGGCACACCCATTGGCTTTAAACCCGGTTGGTGACAGACAAGGGAAATGCACAAACCCCTGTATCATCTCTCAGGCCCTTAAGTTTGATCCTGTTGCCAGAAGGATCCCATTTCTTTTAGTCTTCATTTAGAAACAAATAAAGGAGTAATATGGCTCAAAGTGCAGAGAGATGCCTTGTAGAGTGTTTATTGAGCTTCAGGAGAATGCTTGTACCCCAGTGGGGAGAAATCCTGCTCCAGGCCAGAGAAATTTACATCCTCCTTGGCCTTTGATTCCTCATACCCCTGGGCGAAGTCACAGAACTCTAGAGCAGCTCTGCTAGGGTTCCCCAACTCTCAAAAATTAGAGGCAACTGAGGACACATATAACTACTATTTTTGGGGGAGGGGGGTCTCACCCAGCGATGCACAGGGGTTACTCCTGGCTCTGCACTCAGGAATTACCCCTGGCAGTGCTCAGGGGACCATATGGAATGCTGGAAATCGAACCCGGGTCGGCCGTGTGCAAGGCAAATGCCCTACCCACTGTGCTATTGCTCCAGCCACATAACTACATTTTTATGACTTCAGAGAGTTTGGATTATACTCTGGCTGTCTTGTAGAGGCAATGCTGGCCTTGGACTAGAAGAAGGTCTAGGTTGTGTGTGGTTCCATAGGAAGAGAAGAGGAACTTTGCCTGGGTTTAAATGCCAACTCAGGCAGGAAGTTGTATGTTCCAGAACATATGTATATTCCCTCCCCCCACACCCCCTCCCCGCCAAGGGGGATGACAAAAACTGGCAGTATACTCAGGGATTACTCCTGGTGATGCCTCGGAGAACATATGGCATGCTGGGGATTGAATCCACATTGGCCACATCTAAGGCAAACACCCTTCCCTCTGTGCTATCTCTTGGACCCCATCCAGAACAAATTTACTGGAAATTTTCCCATTCTAATCAAGCCTTTATTATGAAAATTTCAAACTTAGAGGAAAGTTGAAAAGTCTAGTGATTGCTTGTTGCCCATTACCTAGATTCAGTAACCATTAACATTTTGTCAAGTTTGCTTTTCTATAACTGCCTGTATATTGCATAGGTTTTCCATCCATTTTTCCACTCCCCTGAATATGGTATATATTGGTATATGGTGGGTCAAAACAATATGCTAGATTGCAGAGGATATGAAAATTACTATTAGGAAACTTACAACTAGTCCTTGTGTTTGTAATTATCTCTTTTAAGTAGACGGGGACCCTGTTTCAAGAGGGTTTGAAGAGATAGTAGAGCAGTTAGGACACTTGCCTTTCACACGTCTGACCCCAGTTCAATCTGCAGCACCCCATGTGTTTCCCCAAGCCCCACCAGGAGTGATCTCTGAGCACAGTCAGTAGTAAGCCCTAAGCACCACCGGGTGTGACCCAAAAACACACACAAAAAGAAAAACTACTGGGGGCTGGAGTGATAGCAAAGCGGGTAGGGCCTTTGCCTTGCACGCGGCCAGCCCGGGTTCGATTCCCAGCATCCCATATGGTCCCCTGAGCGAGCACCGCCAGGAGTAATACCTGAGTGCATGAACCAGAAGTAACCCCTGTGCATTGTTGTGTGTGACCCAAAAAGCAAAAAAAACCCTACTTGTTTAAAGAGTCCAGAAGTTAGCCCAGGAGGCACGACCATGCTAGCATTTCTGAGACCCTGAATTTATTTTATTTTTATTTTTATTTATTGTAATATCCGGTGATGTTCAGGGGTTACTGCTGGCTCTACATTCAAGAATTACCCCTGGCAGTGCTTGGGGGACCATATGGGATGCCAGGATGGAACCTGGGTTGGCCACATGCAAGGCACACCCTACCAGCTGTACTATCGCTCATTTCCCAGAGACCTTGCATTTATTCGATCCCCTGCATCGTGCATTCCAAGGTGTTCTAGTGACGCCCAAGCAACACGGTATAGAGCCATTAGAGGCGCCTTCCACTGGCCCAGCAAGCCTGGGAGGGGCCCTGGTTCTTCTTTGCCCCATAGCGTGGGTGGGTGTGGCCGCACGAAGGGAGAAAAGAAAAAGCCTTTGGAAATAGTGAGTATCCCAAAGGAATACAGCTGCCCTAAATTAAAAAGCAATGTAATTTTTGTTTACTTGGAATGAGCTCATCTGGCCTCCACAGTTTTCAGCCCAGCTCACAGCTCACTGGTGTGGTCATTGGCAGATTTTCTGCCTTCTTGCAGTTGAGATAATGACTTGTTTTGAAGCTGCTATATTTTTCTTTTTGTTCCAGATGATCCCTCTGATAAGCCACCCTGCCGAGGCTGCTCCTCCTACCTCATGGAGCCTTATATCAAGTGCGCTGAATGTGGGCCACCTCCTTTTTTCCTCTGCTTGCAGGTAAGTCACACGGGAGAGGCCTGCCTCTCCTTGCCCGAGTAGTCAATTCAGAGATGACTATCAGAAGGTGGCCTTTAGAAGGACCATACTTCATTAAGTCGGCTTCTGCAGACAGCCTCCCATTACCTGTTTTACTAGTGAGAAGTGGAGGAGCAAAGCAAATGGATGGGACAGACTGCTGAATATTGCACATCACTGTGTCAGCCTCACGTTTAACACCGCTGGAAGATTCTTGCCAGTAGAGTTAGAGTTTGGGGAATGTGGGAAACAGAAGCGGGGTTTGCTTTCTTTTGATAGCACCTATGGGGTGGCTTATGGTCTCCGTGAGGAGTGAACTTTGGGCAGGTGGAAATAAGGGACAAAAATCATTTTGCGGGAGATGATGGTAATAAGTGCCAACACTATGCCAAGCACTCCTTTGAGAACTTACATGAACCAACCATCCCTAAATCCTATGAAGAATGATTATTACCTGCATTTTATAGAAGCAGCTCAGACAGAGAGGTGAGGATATTTGCCTGACTTCACACAGATGCCATGTTATAGGATCCCGCATGCTGTTATAAGAAGTGTCCTGATTTTAGAGAAGTCAAAATGTAAAAATGGCAGATAGGAGTTGTCATGTATCTTGTTTATCATCATGAAGTCCATCCTCATTTTAGAGTTGGAAAATATGAAATTATATGTGTTTTAGAATAGGGGATGGATGGAGCCAGGATCCATTCTAATTAAGGCAGACTGATTGCAGGGCCCAGGCTCTTAGGAATGGAAAAATTGCTGTCTAGTGAAAAGCCTTTTAGATTTTTGTTCTCTGTGAGGGCTGCTAAAAAGCTGTGATCATGAATATACCAGCCTATGTCAACTACATGATGAAACAAAGTCTCAACATATTCCTACTATTTGAAAAACATTCATTGGACCTTTCACTAATGACACCTCTTCCCCCACCCCAAAGGAAAACATACAGACAGACACACACACACACACACACAAACACACACACACACACCTGCCCCCCAAGCCAGCAAGAAGAGGCCGAGTGGTAAATAATGAATAATGAATAAATGAATGAATGAAGACACATCCCAAGAGTAAAATGTCTCCAAATTATTTTCTGTCCTTTAAGAAAGCAGTGCAAAAAAACTTTTGGGTGACTTAATTTTCTTTTCTTTTGCAGTGTTTCACTCGAGGATTTGAGTACAAGAAACATCAAAGTGACCACACTTATGAAATAATGGTAATGATGAAGTTTTTCCGAGGGAAATTCCCTTCATTTCCTGACTGCACTAGAAATTAGTTTTTTCCTCTTCACCTCCAGATAGCTCTTTCCTCCTCCTCTGGTTTCATCGATCATTACCCAATCCCTCTTATAGGATCTCGATGCACCAGTGTTCTGGAGCCCCCAGGGCTACCGCCAGCAGTACTCAGCGTGGCCTGGGGTGCTGAGGAGCAAACGCAGGGCCTTGTATATGAGCATGTGCTCTGCTCCTTTTAACTGTCTCCTGAACTGAACCTGCTAAGGGTTCTGGGGTTTTACAGATCTGCTGAAACATTCAAGTTCAAAAATCTTTTTGTATTTTCTTACTTTGGACAAACTGGCAGGCTACTGAATGTAACCTGCCCACACGGCAGAGTCTGGCAAACTCCCTGTGGCGTACCCAGTATACCAAATACCAGTAACAATGATGGGTCTCATTCTCCTAACCCTGAAAGAGCTTTGAATATGGCACTTTTTAAAAAATCTCAGGGCTAGGACGAAGGAGACGTTACTGGGGCCTGTTCAAGGCAATCGACAAACAACAGGTCGTGATCGTGATCGTGATTTTCCAATTTTTGTTTCGAATTTAGAAAATGTTTAACGAAGGTGTTTTATTCTATGTTTGGACAGAAGGATAAAGGGAACTACCTTTTTGTTTTGATTTTTGGACCACATCTAGTAGGGGTCAGGACTTACTCCTGGCCTTTGTACTCAGGGTGATGTTCATAGACCTTCTGGGGTGCTGGAGATCGCCTTGACCCTCTTCACTATCTCTCCAGCCCAAGAGGTCTGCTCTTTAGATTCATTGACAGCAGATAAGGCCAGAGAGATGGGTTAGTGGGCAGAGTGCTTGCCTTACATGTGGTTTTTGACTTAATTTGCTGAATTCTAGTCCCAGCATTTTATATGGTTCCCTGAGCCCTTCCGAGATCAGAAGGGGAAGGGAGGGCTGGCTGGAGCAATAGCACAGCGGGTAGGGCGTCTACCTTGCACGCAGCCAACATAGCCGACCCGAGTTCGATTCCTCCGCCCCTCTTGGAGAGCCCGGCAAGCTACCGAGAGTATTCGATATGCCAGACACAGTAACAACAAAGTCTCCAATGGAGACGTTACTGGGCCCGCTCGAGCAAATCGACGATCAACGGGAGGGCCCTGAGCCCTGCCAGGAATGATCCCCGAGCACAGCCGCATGTGACAAATACCCCCGTAACATCCTCCACTCCCTCCCTCCCACCAAAAAAGAAGGAAGAAGAAAACCCCCCAAAAGGGACAGTATAGTAAATGTGGTGGTGGTGGTTTGTGTTCTGAGGCTAACCTGGGATGCTGCCAGCTAAGTGCTTAAGTGCTCAGAGGGTTATTTTGGCAGTGTCAAGATTCAAGCCTAGGCCTCCTGCATGCAAAAATGCACCAATCTGCAGTGCTCTCTCTCTGGTCTCAGTTTTTGGTATTTTCATGTTGTTTATGGGGTGCTGGTGAAATTTATATATGGCATTCCATCCCTCTACCTTTGGGGAAATTAGTTGCCCTCTGAGAATTTAGTTATAAAATGAGTGTACTCCCCCTCCCTTCCCCCACCCCTTGATTTTTGGGCCAGAACTGGCAATGGGCTTACTCCTGAATGCACTCAGGAATCACTCTTGGCAGGGCCCAAGGGATCATATGAGGTGCTGGGGATTGAACCCAGGTTGACCATGTGCAGGGCAAACATCCTATCCGCTGGATTCTGTCTCCAGTCCTCTAGAAAATCACTTCGTAAAGACAGACTAGTTTTATAGGCCAGAATGAGATAGGTTATAATTTGATTGGTGTATTACCTCCTTTAAAGAGGGAATGAGGGGGGTTGGAGAAATAGAACAGTGGGTAAGGCGCTGGCCTTGCACACAGCTGACCCAGGTTCAAGCCCCAGCATCCCATATGGTCCCGAGTGCTGCCACAAGTGATTCCCGAGTGAGAGCCAAGAGTAACTGTGAGTATCACTGGGTGTGACCCCAAAACTAAAAAAAAGTAAACAGAGAGAAAGAAGAAATGAACTCAAGAGTTATTCTATAGATCCTAGTCTGCTTGGGGCAGGGGGCAGGAGAGGTGGTCGGCCATGTGTAAGGCAAAACACCCAGCCTGCTGTGCTTTCAGGCCCCACTACTGTTCTTTTTAAGGTCATGGTTTAGTCTTTTCTAGGATGTTACAAAGTTGGAATCTTAACAATGTGCAACCATTTCAAATTGATCCCTTTCACTTAATAGTGTGTATTTCAGTTTCCTTCCTGTATTTTCATGGCTTGATAGCTTATTTATTTTTAGCATTGAACAGTATTTTAGTGTCTAGATGTGCCAGTTTACCATTCATCTACTGAAGAACATCTTTGTTGCTTGCGAATTTTGGCAGTCATGAATAAAGCTTCTCTTCACATCCATGTATGGGTTTTGTGTGGACATATATTTATAGCCCCTTTGGGTAAATACCACGGAATATGATTACTAAATAACATGGTAAGAACACGGTGGTTTTTGGGTTGGGGGGTAGCACTATGGCAATGCTGAGGGCCAGGCCATACCCAGCAGCGCTTTGGAGCTCACGTGGTGTGGGGGGTCGCATGCAGGACCCTGTGCATGCTGGCATGCGCTCCAGCCCTTTTAGCTCTCTCCCTGGCCAAGAGCACATTTCGTTCTAGAAGAAGCTGCCAATCCATCTTTCAAAGTGGTTGTACAGGCCAGACCAATAATACAGTGGACCGATCATACCAATAGTAAGATGCTTGCCTTTCACACACTGACCTGAGTTTGGTCCCCAGCACCCCTTGTGGTCCCCTGAGTCCTGTCAGCTTTGATCCCTGAGCATTGCCAGGTATGACCCCAAAACAAAAGCAAAACCAGAAACACCCATAGTGGTTATCCAATGAATGAAGGCAGTTGTTGTCCTACTGCCCTATATCCTTGCTGGCTTTTTTTGGTTAGCATTCTGGATTTCAGGGGCTGGATCCATAGCACAGTGGGTAGGGCGTTTGCCTTGCATGTGGCCGACTTGAGTTTGATTCCCAGCATCCCATATGGTCCCCCCGAGCACCACCAGGAGTAACTCCTGAGTGCAGAGCCAGGAGTAACCCCTATGCAATGCTGGGTGTGATCCAAAAAGAAAAAAAAAAGAAGAATAGCATTCTGGATTTCAGCCATTCTAATAGGTGTGTAGTGAGAGCACCTTGTTTAATGAACTAATTTTGGCTTTTGGGGCCATACCCGGTGATGCTCAGGGGTTACTTCTTGCTCTGCACCCAGGAATTACTTCTGACAGGTGACCATATGGGATGCCAGGGATTGAATCCTGGTCGGCTGTGTGCAGGGCAAATGCCCTATCTGCTATACTATTGCTCCAGCCCAGAGAATGCCTTGGTTTAATTGTCTTTTTCTAATGACATGTAACTGTAATGTCTTTTTACTTGAATAACTTTTTCCTGTAATTGCAAAATAAATAAAGGGATGATAGTGATCAAAGGAACTATAATCTGAAGTTCATTTCACTAAAAGACTCAAGTTTTTAGGAAGCCGGGTTTCACAAATTCACATGAAAGTGACTGGAACCACAACAGTTTTTCATGTGAAACTATGACAATAATTCCTAATAGTTTTGTGTAGGTGGGAAAGATCAACAACTGTCCAACGTAAGAAAACTGACCATGAGCTTACTCTGGCTGTTCTGGGACTCAGTGTCTTTTGCTGAAAGGTGAAGGCACAAGTTTTCACTCAGGTCCATGTAATTCTTTTGATTACATCATTCCTTATTCACTTTTCAGCACCCTTACAAGCAGGTTTAGCCTTCTGTTCTTTATTTGAGAGTGCTTTGGGAGACTAGTAATCACCCCCTTATTTTTAAAGCTTACCTATTTCTTTTTTTTTTTCCTTTTTGGGTCACACCCGGCGATGCAGAGGGGTTACTCCTGGCTCTGCACTCGGGAATCACTCCTGGCGGTGCTCAGGATGCTGCAAACGCCCTACCCGCTGCGCTATCACTCCAGCCCCTTAGCTTACCTATTTCCAGTGATTTTTTTTTTTTTTATGTAGGAATACTGCTGTTTATTCAGCCACTGATTAGCTGATTGATTTGGGCATGAACTCCACTCCAGTGAATTTTTCTGCAGGAACGATGACCACATTTTAGCTTTCTACACATGAAACTACTAAAACTTGAATTCCCCCCCCCCCCCATATGAAACCTCAGAAAACTTTAAATGATTTATGTTACTTTGTCATCTCACAGTTCTATATTTTGGGGAGTTACTCATGCAGTGGTGGGTGGTGCATTAATCAAGACTTCTGAGTTCTGTGTCTATTTTTGTCTTGTAATTCTTAGAACCTTGAATAAGTCAAAGGCACCTCTTTCTACCACACCCTATACCAGTGATTCTGAACTTTAGTACATCAGGATCACCTAGGAACTTGCTTAAAAATACAAATTTCTGGGCCAGGGAGACAGCACAAAGGACTAAGCACATGGCTTCAGTGAGAAAAACCTGGTCCAGTTCTGGCAGGTTCCATCAGGAATGACCCCAGAGCACTGATCCAGGGATAGCTCCTGAGTACTACTGGGTGTAAACCCCCCCCCCCCCGCCCCCAACCGAATCTCTAGATAGATTTCTAGGCCTTGTTATTAGAACTTCTGATAAAAGTTGGTGAAAGTCAGCATTCTAAAATATAGTTGTAAAAATAGCATACTCCCCAATTGTGTGTGAGCTGTCATTTTTATATGTATTTATGGCATTAGCCATATTGGGAGATAATTATGAATCTAATATGGATAAAGGATGAAGTTTCTCTTTTGGCTCACATAGTACTTCAGTGCTAGGCATCATCATGCACATACTCAGACAAAAAACTTACCATTTTTTTAAAATTATAGGGCTGGAGAGATAGTACAAGAGGTAGGGTACTTACCTTGCATGTGTTCATCCCATTTGTGTATATGTATCCCTCATGCCCCATATAGTCCCC